ACATCAATTGTGTAAAGCGCATTTGTACATTCCTTGCCCTCATCATTCTCAAAACATTTCCTGTCCACTTAAACCCCCAGCATTAGGTCCTCGTTTTCCCCCATGTTGTAACTTCTAAGGAGCTTTGGTGGCATTGTAAATTTGGCATCAGACTGTTAGCCTCAAGGTCAGTGGTTCAAACTCACCATCTACTCTGTGGGAGAAAGATGAGGCTGTCTGTTGCCAGAAGGATAAAGATTCATAATCCCTCCCAAAACCCTATATAGGGTCACTATGAGTCAGAATCAGTTCAATAGCAGTGGGTTTCATTTGGGGTTTTAACTAGACCCCCTCCAGCCATTCGGTTGAGAAACTGTTGTGAATTCCAGTTCAATTTGTTAATTTTCTGATAAGTAGTGGGCATAAAATGAAACATAAAAACACTGAAAACTAAACCAGGTGTGAAAAAAATTAAGATTGCATAAATTATAGTTTATTCTGATCTTGTTTCAAAACTCCAAGTATTAATTAAGTCACATACCCCTGTTTTTGATCAGAGCTACTGAAGCTGAACTCAAGCTTGAAACATTAGCTCATGAAGTTCAGCATACATAAGAAATATATATTTATGAATAAAATTTCCATTATTAATGACTACTAATGGCTTACAATCAAGGTAAACCCTCTAATAAATAATTACCTACTTATTTGCTGTATAAATAGCACAATTTTTGAATTTCTAATTGCCTTCTCTGTTGACTATTAAGGTCAAAATAAATTGTCTTAGGAAGCTGTAAGAGCACTTCCTGATAGCTTACAAGGAAACATAGCTTTTATTAATTGCAAGTACTTTTTCATCATTTAAAGCAGTGGTTCTCAATCTTCCAAATGCCGTGACCCTTTAATACAATTCCACATGTGGTGACCCCCAACCCTAAAATTATTTTCATTACTACTTCATCACTGTCATTTTGCTACTGTTATGAATCAGGCAACCCCTGTGAAAGGGGCGTTTGACACCCCCCCCCAAGGGGTCGCGACCCAGAGGTTGAGAACCGCGGATTGAGAGGGTAACCTTTCCCAGCTCTTCCTAGACACTATGGGAGTGTCTCTGCACCGAACAAATCCCACAGGAGCCCGCCCTGGTGGTGCAAGCAGCTCAGCCCTTGCCTGCTGACTGAGACTGCTCCAACCTGCCAAGGGCTCCAGGGGAGAAAGACGAGGCCGATTGCTTCCATTAGGATTCACAACCTTGGAAACCCTAGGAATAGTTCTGCTCTGCCCTGCAGGCCGCTCCAAGTAGGTATTGACCCCGGGACAGTGGACTTTAACAATTGCTAAAAGGCAATTCTGAGACTGGCATCTTGAATGTGGAATGCCCCCAGGCTTAGTATTAGAAGTCAATTTGAAATCTATGATGCAGTGATTGACTCCAAATGGCTCTTCTAGCCATAGTCGTGGGAACTCTGACCAAACAACTGAGACTATGCAAATGAGGTATATTTAATCTTTTCCTGGTATGTATGGGTAAGAGAAAGTGGGAGATGTGATCCTATAGGTTATGTCATTCAGTTGTGAACGACTGTTAACAAGGTTAATTGTGGTTGTCAAAGATTTTAATCTAGCATGGGGATTGGTCAGTTTTGCCTTCCTGCTGAGTACAATATGAATGAACCATCTTAGAAGGAGGAAGGGGGGATCTCACTACCATCAAGAAAGACAGTCCAGTAGTGGAGCGCATCATTTGGGTCCCAAGCTCCCCGTACCTCCTTCAGTTCCGGGACAGAGAGCTCTGACGCCAGAGAAGCAGCATGGGAAGAGCAGCAGGAAAACTAGGAGCCGGGGTACAGGACACGGTGGTAGGCCTCCTGGAAAAGCCGAGTTCCTGTGGGTGAACGGCTCTCTTCCAGGGTGGGGTGCCTCCGGGCACTTCATTGAGGACTGGGTTTGCCGACTCAATGTCTTCAGGCTCAGGCTTATGGTGGGGTAGTGTGCCCTTTGGGCATTTATTGGCAGTTTTGTAAAATTGCGTGAGTAGGGCAGAGGTCAAGGGGCTACATGGCTGAGAGGCCAACGTCCAGAGAGAGACCTACCTTTTGGAATGTTTGAGGAGAGGTTATCCTAACCAAAGCACTGTGCCGTAAGTGTTTCTGATCCTGAGTTATAACCTGTTAATTTCCCCAAAAAGCCCCGAATCGTGAGTATGGGTGATAATTATTGCAATAGCCACACTTAAGTTATGAAACCTAGCTAAAAAGTAGAGTGCAGTGGGAGGGCTATCCAGCTGGTGTCAGAAAGGAGGGAAGAGGATGAAGGCATGTCTGACCTCTGCCTCATAGTAGTTGATCTTAAGCTCGTGTTGCGTGTGAGTCTCCTTTCCCTTTGTGAAATCAGAGGAAGTCAGTGTTGTCCCCCAGGCCTTCCATGCAAGATCTAAGTAACCTCCCTCATTTTCTGTCCACGTTGTTGAGACAAATTTGCTTCAAAGATTTTAAAAAAACCAGCTCACTGCCACTGAGTCAATTCTGACTCATATCAACCCAAAGGGGCAGGGTGGAACTGCCTTTGTGAATTTCCAAGACTATAATTCTTTTTTTCCCCTCAATAGTTTTATTGGCATATAATTCACATAACATACAATTTAATGATCCAATCATAGCGAGAAGAATTGTACAATGATCACCATAATCAGTTTGGCAGCATTTTCTTCATTCTTGTTCTCATCGTCATTCGCTCCCCATCTACCCCAACCTCCCCTGACATTCCCCCAAGGAACCATTTATCCAATTATTGTCTCTATAGATTTACCTATCCTTTATTTCATATACAGAAAAGAATTTAAAAACAAAAACTAACAATGGAGAGAAAATGTTTCGAGAAACGATGTACAAATGCGCTTTACACAATTGATGTGTGTATGGATTGGGATAACAGTTGTATGAGCCCCTAATAAAATGTTAAAAAAAAAAAAACTAACAATAACAAAGTAAAACATAAAAAATCTTAATAGAAAAGAAAACAAATTAAAAATAAAACAAATTTAAATGGATCATAACGGAGATCCAATGATAAGATGCTAAAGTTTTACCTAACTGCATCTGCAACCATCCACTTTCCAATACATTCCGCAGGCTAGCAAGACTGTCACTCTACAGGAGTTTACAACCTCATCTTTCACTCATGGAGCAGCTGCTGGTTTCAAACTGCTGGCCTTGTGCTTAGCAGCCCAATGCACAACCCATAGGCCTGCAGAACTGCTCCCTTACTTCAAAATTAAGACTATAAAAATAAATAATAATTTTAGAAGAATTAAAACAGGCACATACATACACAAATGTATTGCTCTAAGTCCAGTCCAATTCATGGTGCCCCTCTGTATTGTAGAGCAGAATTGCTCCATAGAGTTTTCTGGGCTGTAACCTTTCAGGAAGCAAATCACCAGGTCTTTCTTCCTTGGTACTTGTGAGTGGCTTCAAATCACCACCCTTTAAATTAGTAGTGGATTATACATTTGTGCTCAGGGATCTTAACTTGGAAAAATTAAGTGTTCTTAATATAGCTTTGATTTGTGATACATACGAGACCCCCACTTCTGCTGTGATAAATGCAGATTTTATACAAGTTCATTATTGTAACTGCTCTCATTTTGAATTGACTATCTGTAGCCTTTGACAGGGAACCACTAGAGCAGTGGTTCTCAACCTTCCTAGTGCCGCGGCCCTTTCATACAGCTCCTCTTGTGGTGACCCCCAACCATAAGATTATTTTCGTTGCTACTTCTTAACTGTAATTTTGCTACTGTTATGAATTGTCATGTAAATATCCGATATGCAGGATGTATTTTCATTGTTATAAATTGAACATAATGAAAGCATAGTGATTCATCACAAAAACAGTATGTCATATATTGTGAAACATTTATTTCTAATGACAAATAAATGAAATTTTGTCTTGAAGCATGGTGTAGCATGGGTAACAGTCTTCACGCTGGGTACTCATGCGTGGGTGTATCTGCATGTGGGCGGACCCGCCTGCAGACTGATAGAGGAGCCGTGTCTCGGTTCCTAAGACCATCGGAAATAAGTGTTTTCCAATGGTCTTAGGCAAACCCTGTGAAAGGGTCATTCAACCCACAAAAGGGGTCACGACCCACAGGTTGAGAACCACTGCACTAGAGGGAAGTGGGAGTAAAATCAGCAATAAAGGGATGTGTACACCTTCCTTTATCTCCCATCTGCAGGAGTGATTTCTGGCACAGGGACCAGCAGGTTTGTCTAGATGTGGTAACTTTGTCTTCTTTCCCCATTTCCTTGCTCTTTCCGGTCTAACACTGTTCTGACTACAGGCTAATTGGATCAGTGACTCCCCCTGCTGGTCTGTCTTTATCCCCATCTCACTTGTCATGTGGGCCAACCTTCGGCAAAGCTCTCCTAAGCCAACCTGTCCTGTGCTGACCTTGTTTTTCAGAATTCTGCGAACAACGCTATTAACAGTGCTATCAGCCTTGAATCACCCAGATAACATCCATCATTGCTGCTTCAATTCCTCTCTGCCTCCCCCGGGTTAGGTATAATAAAACATTGAAATAATCATAAGCGTTGCATGGAACACTTCTAAGAGAGAAAAAGAAATGTCTGCTCAGAGATTTACAATGGACTCTGGTGAAAAATGTAATGTTGCACATGATGGCCTTAGAATTCTGCTGCATTGTCTGAGTATATGATTGACATTTAATTTTTTTTTAACATTTTGTTTTATTTCTAGCCCTTGTGGTAGCAGTCCTACGCTTCATACAGTTGAAACCAAAGGTTTTAAATCCGTGGCTGAATATTAGTGGATTGGTGGCACTTTGTCTGGCTTCCTTTGGAATGACCTTACTTGGTAATTTTCAGGTACTTCACTTGACCTTTTTCTCCTTTCTCTCATGCTGGTAAAGGCCTTCACCTATATGATGACCACAGACATTGAGGTATCGCATGCTTGCAGGAAAATTAATTGGTTACAGAAAGGGTTGAATTGACCTATGTCTGGGGGTGTTTATTTTTACCAAAATAATAATTCCATAAAAAATAAGTGGTTCTAAAAAATAACAATTGATTAATTATTATATAACCCATATAAGTGTGCACGAATTCTTTTTATACAATGCTAACAATAGTCCCTGAAACACTCATGGTCTCCTGTAGTAATTCTTTATGGTCTTTCAGCAGAGTGTACCTAAGTCTGCATTATACATGTGAGGGTGCTTGCTAGGAACTTCAGAAAGCTCATGGGAAAATGGAACTAGAAGATAATGGGATTTCCCCTGTTTTTCTGAAGCCCCCTTGTACAGCACGGCTGTTGGGGAAAGTACCTACCAAAATAGCTGTGTATTTTCTACAATGGACTTCAAAAGGGTTTACATATGAAGGATCTTCAGAAAGTTCATGGGAAAATGGAATTAAATTTCATAAAGTGAAGACATTTCTATGAAAAATGTTACCAGCCATTTAATCCATCCCTAAAGTCCTGGGAATTTACCATGTCAGTGATGTCTTATTACAGTTTTAACTGAGGGAAAACCTCCCTTTAGGGATTTTTTTTAAGATTAGGGAACAAAAATAAGTCAGAAGGAGTCGAATCAGGGTTGTGAGGATACCTAATGATTTCCCATGAAAACTCCTGCAAAGTTGCCTTTGTCTGATGAAGGAATGAGCAAGAATATCGTGCTGGAAAACAATTCTCTGGTGAAGAATCTCAAGCATATTCTTTCTGCTAAAACTTTGGCGAACTTACTTAAAAACACTCTCATAATCAGCAGATGTTATTATTCTTTGACCCTCCAGAAAGTGAACAAGCAAAATACCTTGAGCATCCCCAAAAGCTGTTGCCATGACCTTTGCTTTCTACTGATCTGCGTTTGCTTTAACTGGACCACTTCCCTTTTTGGTAGCTATTGTTTATTCAGGGTGGTACTAGTAAAGCCTTGTTTCATCTCCTGTTACCATTCTTCAAGAAAATGCTTCAGGATCTTGATCCTGTGTTTTAAAAATCTCCATTGAAAGCTCTGCTCTTGACTCCAGTGATCTGGGTGCAACCGTTTTTACATCCCTGGGTCGGAAGTTGGTTCAACTTTAATTTTTCAGTCAGAATTATGTAGGCTGAACCAACTGAGATGTCTATGGTGCTAGTTATTGTTTCTGCTGTGAATCATCAGTTCTTTTCAGTTAGGACTCAGGATGTGAATAGTCTTCCATGGAAGGCTTCGTCTTCGCCATCGTCTAGTCCTTTTTAAAACAAGTTATCCATTCGTAAACTGCGGATTTCTTTGGGGAAACCCCCGCAAACTCTTTTGTAAATCATCAGGGAAATCACTTTTCTCTCACCCAAGCTTCTCCATATAGTTGATCTTTGCTCCTGCTTCAGTTTGGGCAGAACCGATGTTACTCTGAGAGCTCTTTTCAAGCCAACGTCTAATCCTTCTTAGATTCTTTTCAGGATTGTTATAACAAATTACTGAAAGTTTATTTAGGCATAAAACATTTTTTTATCCATGCACAGTATTTTTTTATCATTTTATTAGGAACTCATACAAGTCTTATCACAACAGTATTTTCTTTTTTATATAATCATTTTATTGGGGCTCATAGAGCTCTTATCACAATCCATATATACATCCATTGTGTCAAGCACATTTGTACATTCATTGCCCTCATCATTCTCAAAACATTTGCTCTCACCTAAGCCCCTGGCATCAGCTCCTCATTTTTCCCCTCCCTCCCTGCTCCCCCCTCCCTCATGAACCCTTGATAATTTATAAATTATTATTTTGTCAT